TAAAAATTGTCCCAGTAATTATAGACTTATTAGTCTTACATCAGTCTTGGGATAAGTTTTCCAAAGTTTAATAACAGATGCTTTGCAAAATTCATTTGACAAAGTTTAAAATTTTGTTGGATAGTCGACATGGTTTCACTAGCAGAATCTTTTGACATTCTTTGAAGAGACGACTGCTTATGTAAATGAGGGTGCTGGTGTGGATTTGATATATCTTTATTTTTAGAAAGCGTATGACAAGGTGCCACATAAAAGACTTGTCACAAAAAAGGATATTTGTAGGTGTGACGGATAAGTTGGTTTATTAGACAGAAAATTGGTTAATCGGAAGAAACCAGCATATTCTTATAAATGGAGTGCAGTGGGGCACCTCAGGGCTCAGTGTTAAGACCTTTGCTCTTTCTGATTTACATCTTTGATATAGATGAAGGTCAGGTCATTAAATTACTCAAATCTGCTGATTATATTAAAGTTTGGGATGTTATTGGCATATTTGGTTAATTGGGCAAATAAATAGCAGATGGCTTTAAATTAAAATAAATGCAAGGTAATGCATGTGGGATACTATAATTTGAGCTATTAGTATAATTTTGATAGGAACAACCTTAACAGTGTTATGGAAGAAAATGATATTGGTGTTCTAGTTGATCAGTATCTTAAGCCATCCATGCAGTGTGCTGTTGCTAGTGGTAGGGTAAACAGGATTTTAGGTTGTATCTGACAGAAATATTGAATATAACTGTAAAGTGGTTATAATTTCATTGTATAGATCACTGGATGGGTAACATTTGAAGTATTATGTTCAGTCTTGGGCTCCTTAACTTAGGAAGAATATTGGATTTTCAGAAAAGATTCATAGAAGGGCTAAAAGGATGACACCTGGGGTGGAAAGGATGACATACAAGGACAGGCTAACATCTCTGAAATTATTTTCTCTTCAGGAAGAGTTACAGAGGATCTGAGTGAAATGTTTATGATTGTTAAGGGAAGAAACAGTATTAATGTATCATCTTTGTTTTTTTTTATCATACTTGATGGTGAAAATGGAAGGACTAGAGGACAAAAATACAAATTTTGGCAGAGTAGGAGTTATCTTCAGTTGAGACAGTTTTATTTTTCCTAAAGAGCACTTGGTCTTTCGAATAAGTTCTTTCAGATGTGGTGGATGCAATAAATTTAAGGAAAAGGTTTGATAAATATTTGAATGATAATGGCTGACTTCGAATGCTTTATTTATATTTTAAAGTTCAGTTTAGTGGATGGGATTGGCTAGAAGATTGAGCAAGTGTCTTGTTTCCCTTAAATTATATATACAAAAAACTAAAAGAAGACCTTTCAGAAAAACCAATACAAGGTCTCTAAAATGACTTATCTAAACATTTTCTAACAATTCAGTAATATGACAGTCTGCATTTTGTCCCTAAGAATAATTTCCAAATTTACGATAACTTAATTTTTTTTTTGGTTGACCACAAAGAATGAAGGATATTGACAAATTAGATATTTTATGAACAAAGTAAATTAATGTAGTATAAGAGAAGATTTCCTGGTGTTCGACAAATGTTTCTGAGTATCATCTTCTACACAGTTCTCATAAAAAAGGTTTGGTGTTTCCAATAACCTGATCTTCTAAATAGCTAGGACAATATCTCTTCTAATGTAATTGATATACAGATTCACAGCTGGACCACTACACTAACCTATTTGTTTCGTAGGTAACAGTGACAAACCAATCTTTGTATCCATCACAAGGTTCAATAAAAAGCCTGATCTTATAAAACTCTTTGGTTTGTGCATGTGATTCTTTTCATTCTTCATGAGGACCTCTGAACGTCTGGCAGCTTTCTTTCTTTAGAAAATCGTTTCAGATAATTAACTACCTGGGCATTTTGAGCTTCTTGAGCCAATTCTAGTGGTGTTACTCCATCCTGTCAGCAAAGAGAAACCAATTTTTGTTTACAGAAAGAGAAAGAGATCTAACAACCAAAACTGAAAAAAAAGTATAACAGTAAATGTGAATTGTAAGCATAAACAAAGGTTATTACTTCACAATAATAAGATTTGGACAAAACTAGAACTTAGAGTTTATGAATAATGTAACAAGTACAAATATTTTGCCTGGACATATCCTAATAATTCATCATCTTTCTAATGAATAATTGGGTAACATAACCTTCAGCTAATTATGAAAGACTATATCACCTAGTGGACCAGCAAATACAGGCCAAATAGGAACCATATTGAAATTTTATGTTTACATTATAATTCAAAAATATGAAACTATGTCTTTAACTAGTGGTTAAAACTGTATCAAACTAGGGTATTTGATACAGGGCTAGTAAATCAGGTTGTGTTAACCACAAAACTAGTGGTTAAAACTGAATCAAACTAGGGTATTTGATACAGGGCTAGTAAATCATGTTGTGTTAACCACAAAATTAGTGGTTAAAACTGAATCAAACTAGGGTATTTGATACAGGGCTAGTAAATCAGGTTGTGCTAACCACAAAACTAGTGGTTAAAACTGTATCAAACTAGGGTATTTGATATAGGGCTAGTAAATCAGGTTGTGTTAACCACAAAACTAGTGGTTAAAACTGTATCAAACTAGGGTATTTGATATAGGGCTAGTAAATCAGGTTATGTTAACCAGAAAACAAGTGGTTAAAACTGTATCAAACTAGGGTATTTGATACAGGGCTAGTAAATAAGGTTATGTTAATCACAAAACTAGTGGTTAAAACTGTATCAAACCAGGGTACTTGATACAGGGCTAGTAAATCAGGTTGTGTTTTATAGAATTTTAGAACAAGGGAACTTTATAGAAGGCTACTACCTTGTGGTATTTAAAATATTGTTAGTAACTTCGGTTATTTACTACAAAACTAGTAACTCAGGATGTTTGATACTGAGCTACTGCCTTATGGTATTTGCCACAGAACTTGTAACTTTTTACCACAGAGCTAAAGGTTTCAATAGTAAAGTTAGCAATCTAGTCAAACCTACAAAAATTTAAATAAATAACACTTTTTTAGTTTTATTATCAAAGGTTATCTGAGAAATAAGTATGCAATTTCATGTAATAAAGCCAGAATTATAACATCTGAATGAACAAGTTGACTTTCTAACAAGGGAATATTTCACTGTCTTGTTGTGGTGCATATCTGAGAACAATGAAGAATATCAAAATCTCAATAAATAAATAGGTAAAGCACAATCATACTTAATACAAAACAGTTCATTCTACCTAAAAGGAAGATAGCAATTCAGGAATTTTTGTCAATCTTTCATAAACCTTACAAATAACGAAGCAATCTTTTAACTTATGGATTTTACGATATTTCTTTAGTAGTATAGAGATAGTATTGTTCTTTAGATTTAAAATGCCATGTTATGTGAATCATGAGCTAAAATTGGCTGCTGTAATTTCTAACTAATTAGAAAAACAAGCTATACATATTTACAAGCAAGAACCTAAAATTTTAACCTCTTACATTCTGTATTTACTGAGATATCAATAAATTTGTCAAAACCACCAAAGAAGCCCCTTCCCCCCATTCTCTGACTTTTGAGACTGTTTGCTAATGAACTTCACATGACCGATGGACATGTTTATAACCAATAACACATTTCCTCTAGATCAAGCTAACAAGTTTCATTTTGAATCTGGCAGGAAGAATATTCACTTCACAGAAATGCCATTTTGTGCAGTCGTGGTTTTACTGCTGTGAATGGCCAACAGATTCTTTTTAATGTATTTATAACTTACTTAAAAAAAGCCAGATAAATTACAATAGTGTTGAGACATTCTATTCTAGTGTTTGGTAAGTTTTCTTTTGTTATAGAATGCATATTTCAAAGCTACATAAATTTTTTTTGGACACCCAAACTTGTAAGGCTAAGGGAAGAACATCAACTATTTTACTCAAGTGTAAACAGAACAAAAATGCAGTGAGTGCTAGAAATCTTTATTTTTATGTATATCTTTTAGAATTTACAATTTAAAAATCTTCTCAGCCTAGCCTAACCAAACTTCAGTAAAATAAAACGATAAAATCACACTAGCTCAATCCCCGGTGTGAAATATGACATTAGATCAGTTGCTGTTACATTAGCTCTGTGAGAAACAACTAATGGGCTCTTGCTGTGACTTATTGCTTGTTAGGTAAGAATTGCTGTTCCAATGGCACAATGTGTGGCCATAAAACCATAAAATTATGAGAAAACAAATATGTAAAGGTTAAACAGTTGAAAGTGTTAAGATAAGTAATTTGGAACTTTCTGATAAAAAATGCAGTCAGTGCACAGGAAAAAGTATTATTAATTATTTTTGTTTCATATTCTTTAACTTTTCATTTTATTATACATTGATTTCTCTACAGTTAGTCTTAAAGTAGATAACATATAAAGTTTTATTGAAAAAACTTTTGATGTTCATTTAGGAGGTTCTAGAGGTTATACAAATGAAATATAAAAACAGTAAAATGAAACGAAGAATCTTTATTCTTATCATGAAAATCAGTTTTCACTCAGATTGACTCAGTAAACATTTTGTAAATTCACAGTTAAATCTTTACTGTACAGCAGACTTGTAATGTTAACTAAAAGTTAACCAAATTTCATAAAGATACACACAGTAAATTCAGTTACAGTGTCACAGTTCCAAGGTTGGCTAAATGAGCTAACGTAGTTATTACAGGGGTAAGCTAACTGTATTTGCATCTTGTACAAGCCTATGTACAATAGGTTTAACATTGCACATCTCAGTTAAATATTATAACATTAGCCAGTGTGTGGCATTAGAAACAGCAAAAAAGGCTGAATTTCTTTTTCTTTTCAGCCAAAGTCAGAATAATTTGCTTCACCATTTATTATGTACAACAATTGCAGTGGTTGTCAACCTTCATTATGACAACTTAATTTGTAATAAAAGTAAACTATCTTAACAGGCATTATTATAACCTGGTAACATATAACTCCATTGATTGTGAGCACATTATCTTTATGTAAACTATTTCTTAAATTAGTCACTGTATCATATCAAAACAGTTGTAAGAAAACCATTTTGTTAATTTCATCTTTGTCTGTCAATTCTAGTTTGTGTATATCAACATTGTGTCATCTATGCTCTTCATATCATTACTAAACTTGAAAATAATTAAATTCTCATAAAATTAAGATGACGATCTACTTCTATTAATTAAATAATTTTGTATAACATTAATACCTAAAGTAAATATGCAACAATAACTAATACTTACCGTTAACCCTAGTCTGAAACTTGATAATAATTAAATTCTCATAAAAGTAAGATGACGATCTACTTCCATTCGTTAAATCATTTTGTATACCATTAATACCTAAAGTAAATATGCAACAATAACTAATACTTACCTTTAACCCTAGTCTGAATATTCTTAACTATATCAATACAGTCAAATTTCTGGACTTACTTGACTACGGAGATCTGGATCAGCTCCTGCTGATATCAAGAACTTTACTACTTTCAAATGATCAAACAGGGCTGCAGCATGAAGGCAAGACTCTCCATTCTGTCAACATATTTTTGTTACTTGACATATATATTCAGTTACAACTTATTATAAATAGTAAATTAAAACCCATAAATTTCACAACAAATACCTTTTTTTTCACGTTAACTGTCCATCAACAGCCATTGTCAGACTTAATACAAGTCTGATGAAACCTGAAGACTGAAACATTGTTCTTTACGAAAATAGTGTTTCATTGCAGACTAATGTATTTCGAGAAAAATTAGTAAAATTATTAAATTAAATTCAACACAATTACCGCAAATGATACCCTGTCTGAACCTCAATTGCATTTTTGTGGTCATAGTGCTACAGAAGTTGCTGAATGTGTTGTTATTATTTTATATTCATAATATTTTTTATCTTTTCAATTTGATATGAACCTTGCTTGGACAATACACTATACTGCTACTGACACATGACTTAGTCAGGATAACATGTGTTACTGATTCCAGAAATGCCCCCCCCCCCTAAAAAAAAATCTGGTAGTGCCACTGATTTAACATATTTTATTACCTGGTAGTAAGAACTTTAATTTTTCTAGTGAGAAAACCTCATATATTTGGTTATAAGGAAGTTTAATAACTATTCAGTTGACATATCCAGTAGCGGGAGAAATTAAATGGAGTTTTTGTTTCTGTGTTGATTATCCCAAGTAAAATAGCTGAACAAATAAAGGATGTGTAACTTTACCATTTAGTCAGGAAACTTATCAGTAAGTAATATATAAAATACTAGTCTTGAAAAATGGTAATGATGAATTAAGAAATGAACAAAGTCAAAAATAAACACCACTAGCTTCAATCAACAAGAGTATGCTGTTTGAAACATATTATATAACACAACCACATCCCAAAAGTTAAAGGATACGAGTATTTAGACATTATCTCTGCAGCAATTATGAAACAATTTATGCTTGCACACATACACACATATGAAGAGCCTGATGAAGCTAAACAAAACATACTATAAGCTACAATAAGCATGGATTACATGGGTCGCATTCAACTACATGATGATGTACAACCTTATTGTAAATCATTACACAATAATTAAGCTGTGT